ACTTTACCCAATTTTACCCAAACGCCTAGCGTCCATGCGTAAAGACTATTTATTTGATGCCTATTTTTATAATAAGATAAAAAAAACTAAATTACTAAAAAGAAATAGAATGACAAAATTAAGAAATATGCAAATCATTCTTTTTTTTCCAAAATTTTTTTATTATAAAGATTGGTTTTGCCGAATTCATCCTTGTCCCTAAATAATACTCGGCATGTAAAACAAACTTAAATAGATATTTCATTAAAATATAATTTAGAGTATGGATGTTATTCTCTTCAATCATCCGCAAGCACACCCTACAATATCTCACCAGTAATGTCTTACTATTTCTTATTTCATATCTGCTCCTCGATAAATCTCAATGAATCGTATGTTTTCAAGCTTCCATAGATTACACAAATCAATCGATGTTATAGTTCCATCGTTTCTCATTTACGAAGCAGAGACATTCACCCTAATACATCTACTCTTGGTAAACATTATAATATATGTATTCTTGACGATTACTTTTCGAGCAACAAATATGCATAAAGATACTACACACAAGTCTATGCTCTGATATCATATATTATAGTATTATATGCAACAAAATTGTTCTCTACACATGACAAAAATTTTCTTATTAATAAAAGTGAAAAAAGTTATTTTTTCATCAACAGCAGTTTTCATCAATCTGGAACACTACAAGCACTAATACGATTTGTGTCATCAGTCTTTTCCAATTACACACCTAACAAAGATTTCGGTCAAGAACTCTTATCAAACAGACCAATATGAATAGAATTTCGTTATTTCATTGGTAATCTTTTCAAACTCATTGAATAACATTGAAATTTTAAAAGAATAAACTTACGAAGTCAAATTTATGTTTGAATGTGAGCGTTAAGAGACAGAATAATCACAGATACCCATTTCTGCATTATCATCTTCCATCCACACTCTTAAGTATTGATTGTATATATAACAACAGACACTTTCGATACAGATAAAATTTTTATTAGAACTGGATGATGAAAATAAATACTGAAAGAAAATGTTATTGAAGAATGTTTATTCTACAACGACGATAGTTATTGAACGTGATTAGATCATATGTTCTAAAAAGAACCAAATTTATCAATTAATTGAAGGGAAAACAATGCTGAAGACATAAATATACCTATTGTATTTATCCTGGTTGCTCTATTCATATATTTTGTTTCGTTTAAAATGTTTAACGCGCTTCTTAATACAATCGAAGCTAATAAAATAAATGAATACTTGGAAGAAATGATATATTCGAATATTTTTCTCTCTTCGAAGAAAAGATTTAGAGACAGTAGAATGGTTGAAGATATTTTCGTGATTGTGAAGCAAAGATTTAGAGTGACTAATATGGTCACAGATCATCTATCAAATGAACATCTCAAAGGAGGAGGAAGACTTTATACGAATATTATGATGATTCTGAAGTAAAATTTTAGAACTTGCGACTTGGTCGGAAATCACATGTAGACTGAATACTGCATAATAAGGTTTTATTGACATATTTAGTTCACTTGGGAGCAACTGTTTGAAGTTGGTAATTTATCGAAGATCGCATAGCAAATGATCACTCAAAAGGAATAAGGTTTTATTCAAACATTTTGCCTACTGCGAAGAAAATATTTAGAGTTGATAATATGATCAATGATTACAGGGCAAATAAATTATTCAAAGAAGGAGGAATTCATACAAAAATGTTGACCACTTGGAAGCAAAGATTTTATGTTGCTAATGCGATCGAAGATCACATGGTCAATGAATAATTCAAAGTACGTTTCGCAATGTATGCCTTCACTATTTCACGTAGACTGCGTCGATGATTCATGTCAGCACTATAGTTTTCTCCCAATTGCAGCACTGTACTTGCCATGCAGCTTGTCAGTACTAATGCCAATAGAATGATGTAGTACAACGATTTGCTGATAGAGACCATACTTGATTGTTGAATATGCAATCACTATTAGTAGATAAGTTATTGAAGAATATGTGAATATTTATGATATTAATGTCATTTTCTCTATATTTATATATGTATCGATCGCAATAGAATGACGCACCCATAAACAGAAGGTTTGTGCATTCGAAAGTCACGAATCTATGTTCATACGGCCATGAAAAAAAACGCTTGTTTATCGTTATTGATAAAAGAACAGAATTAATGCGTAAACTTCGGTAGCCATACACATTATTATCAATGAAGAATATCTATTTCCACATTCTCAAGTGATGAGTCATTCTCCATAATACTAAACTTGTACATGTAGCAAAGCAAGCACGATTGGGAGTTTATCTTATCATCGACAGATAAACAACAGACTAATCAATATTCGTAGGTATTCGAACTTTTCGCTTGAATACTAACGGCTCATACTTAGATGAAATACAATTTTTGAAGCAAGTTTTGTAATGATCTCATTCATTTTATTGAAGACTCCGGTACTTATTGGTTGTTCATATATCTAAGTGAATACCTATTTATTTCTTAGAATTATCTAATAATTACCAGCATTATTTAATAAATAATCGTAATTGTTTTATGAATACTCAATCACTTATTTATTCTAACTGATTTGTTCCGAGTAGGATACGTCAAGATTGAAAATACTTCGCTGAACAACTATTTAATATGAAGCACATTTTTATAAATACTCATACCTTTTTAGTATCACTTTATTGGTTATTTATTATGACAGGTTTTTTTTTCTGAGCAAGGAAGGGAAAGATTAGATATACGTGGATAAATAAGGAATTATTTTTTTATTTGAATTGAGAACCGCTAAAATCATACCTTGAATATTTAAATTGACTGGGAATAAGTTAAGTTTAGAGATGTTTCTAAAATGATGCCTTAGTTAGAATGAAATAATATTAAACAAGAATATGAGAAGAACAGAAAAATAAATAAATGAATGTTGTGCAAAGCATATTTGTTGTTGTTTTATTTTTCAATAATAATGATTAATTTTAAAGTGATTAGCACATTTCTTGTGAAAAATGTATACTTCTATTAATTAGCATGCAAAAAACAATAAATCTATAATAGACATTCAAGTATAAAGCAGCAAAAATTTATGAGGAAAAGATGACATCATAGCACAACGAAAATACTATTAAAAATCAGATATAAAATATGCTATAATAAATAAGAAAAGGCATAGCTAAGAAAAAAAGAACTGTAGATAACGCGTCATGCAAGCGAATCAGCTATTTAAATCATTTCATAGTTGTATGCATTTCTTTGAATAGTTATCAAATCTTTTAAATAACTATAATGATCCCAGTGAAAAATATTCCTAAAAGAATCACGATTATTTATAATTACAGATGTATAAATCTCATTTTTGTACGATGCTTTCACTATTTGCAGGATTATTCGATCAAGATTGATTGAAAAAAGCTTGTTAGCGTAGCCCTTTTGGAGCTGAAATGTGGAACTCACATATATCCTTAAACCTTAATATTCTAATGCATCATATGAAAATTGAAAAATTTCGTATACATTGTAGTTGTTTTCATTGATAATCAATGACGAGAGCGAGACTTTGTTATTTATCTCCATTTAAAACAGAAATTTTTTTTGTTTGAGAGCGCCCTATTTTTCTTTTGCATTGTTGTTATTCGCTCATTATCTTTCATTTTTTTAATTTTAAATCGTTTTTCGTAACTCAATATTCTTATTATTATAATCATCAAATCAATTGGCAAATAAATCTATTTTATGTATCCATGATATCTACAGAAGATCTTACGCACTATTATATATATTAATCAGCTCACAAACAATGATGTTGATTACCTTTCAAAATTAAAATTTGATTAATTTTTCAAAAAAATTTGAAAATCTAACGCCCGTTGTTCTTAATTGCTAAAGTTTGTAATGGGGGTCTACGTTGCTATGTGTCTATAATGGGGCCTTACGTTACTATATGTCTGTAAGGGGAGGGGGATGGAGAGCCGCGAAACCTTGACCTTAAAACTTACACTCACTATTTTCTTCGAAAATATATGAGTTCCATAAAAACCAAGCATATTTTGTTGAGTGATATTTTCATTTATTCGAGTTATTTCGATTCTTATCGACTTCTTTTACAAATAATTTGATTTGACATGACTACAAGGCATGAGTTTAGGAACGAATTAACTAAGAAATGACGGACCTGTTTAGGCTCTAGAACGACACAGTGCAAGATGAAGGAGTTACTATGCTCAACCAAGACAACAATATGCTTTTCAATATTATTAAAATGGAATGGGATTCCATTAAATAAATATTACGTCGATTTCTTACTTCAATATGCTAATAGAAAACTTATTTTATATTTAATACATTAAAATAAACATCACAAAATAATAATGCATTATTGTCTTTCGATAATAGAAATATGCCGAAAAGGCATTTGTTTCATGTTTGAGATATTTTATGATTTGACTAAGATATAAAGATGTCTGAAATAAATGTATTTATATATTTTAACATTCGAAAAGGAATTTGTTTTTAAACAGCAGGCTTTTATAAAGATATTCTTTTTGCTTTGAAAAGTGAACGATCCTGACATATTGATAATACTTTTCCTATCAAATCCTATTTCTCTATATAATTCATAAGAATAAAACTGATAGAGTATTTTTCTTATCAAGATGTTTCATATCCTCTAAATTTAAGAATAATTTTCGCTTTTCTATTTTATAAATGAGATCAAGATTTATATATTCACATTCGGTACATTTATTATTGAACAAACAAAAAAAATAATGCACTAAATGAGCACGAAAAAAAAATAGACATCAATTCGAGTATCTGAAATAATTTGAGAAACAAACAACAAAAAAGTTCCATAAAATTTAATGACCTGGATGCCCTAAAACACTTTTTATTGATCATTACCGCCTCGAAGTCGAAGTACAAGATGGAGTGTACTTTCTTTTTGGATGTTATAATCACTTAATGTTCGACCGTCTTCAAGTTGTTTGCCGGCAAAGATGAGACGTTGTTGATCAGGTGGAATTCCTTCTTTGTCTTGAATCTTGGCTTTAACATTTTCAATAGTATCACTTGGTTCAACTTCGAGTGTAATTGTTTTGCCAGTGAGTGTTTTAACAAAAATTTGCATACCACCACGTAATCGAAGGACTAAATGAAGTGTACTTTCTTTTTGGATGTTGTAATCGCTCAATGT